GGTCGCTGTCGGAAGAGAGACAGAAGGGACCTCCGAGGGGAATGTCTTCGGTCGCCTCACGCGCCGCGAACGTTGCAGGGCCTACATGATAAGGTCCAGTAAGTATAAGAGTACAAATGCGAGTCGTTCACGTGAGCGCACCTTCTGAACATGTTTGGGCCAAGGAGCTCGAAGGAACGGGCATAGAAAGGTATGCGAATGCGAGGTCCTCCTGCGCAGAGGAGCTGGATTGGGGAGGCTATTTGGTCGGTTCGCCGTCAGCCGTGCGAATGTTGAAAATCTGGTTAGCCACATACCTCCAATTGCGCCCCCTGCCCCCCAGCACTCGCGTCCGACGTTCCATCCACAGTCGTATGACGCGACAGGACATCGCCCCAGCAGACGTCGGACGCGGGGTCGAAGGAGTTCGACGCAAACCCACCATTGAGCGAGTACTGTTGATCGTCTCCCGGCAGCTGCGATGGACCGGCCAAGTTGAGCTCAATGAGCTCAGATAACGTCCACCCATTCTGTCGTGGGTAATGAGCGCTGTCCCCGTACACATATGCAGCTGAAGATTCAACGACTTACCGATTGGCGCGGCGTAGCGAGCGCATCCTCGAAGGGGCTGTGGTTGACGTTCCCAAGCGACTGGTGCCCAGGGAAGGTGAGGGAGGGCAAGAAGTCGAGCCCGTCGAAGCCGTAGTTGAATGCCATGTTTGATTGGTGTAGGACTGGATTAAAGGAGTGGGGTGCGGGGTGCGGGGTGTGTGGGTTGAAGCGTGGTGAGAGGGAGAGATGCCGACGGGACGTCGAGTGGCTGATTTTATGTGCAGAGCGAACAGCGGAAAACAAACAAACCAACACCTGGCCTATTATGGCCTTCGCGGAGTTCTGACCAGCGTCAAACGTCTTGGCGCCCTAATTGACCTTTCAACGCACTCGACTCTACTTCCAACCACAGTCTTGACGCTTTCGCCAACCACTCCGCGTCTAATACCCTGGTCATAGGTTAGCGTGTGCAAGAAATGAGAAGGGATCCTACGCACGAGAACGATCCTCCGAGGGGAAGCGCGTCCCATTGCCCGGTACCCCGGACTCTCACCGCTAACCGGGACGCGGCCCACGGACGGAACACGCCCAAATAGGCAGCCACCAGCACCGCGTATCTGCTCTCCACGGGGCCCTCGTTGAAGTATGCCATGGCGGACGCGAACGCGCCGTGTCGAGGGGCGAAAGCGAAGACCGGGGCGGTAGGTTGTGGCTAGGTCTTGTTCACTGATTCGTGCTGAACCCCGTCTACTTCCAGATGCTGTCGCGCGCGTTGAGCGCGCAACCTGCGAGCGCCAGGGTACAAAACAGTACGAGCGTCCGCTCTGACAGAGAGATCAACCCAGGCGTTCACGATCTGGTGTGGCTGGTGGGTTCAGTTAGCATACATTTCGACGTCGCGCCGAGAATCTTACCATCTTATACGTTCTCCATGAGCACAATTGCGTTGTCCACAATGTAGCTGCCCCTTTCACGCAAGATGCCTTAAGCCTCACGACGACAATGCCGCAGCAGCGTATTGCCATTATCGCGGCCACCGCGGCGGCCATCGTCGAGAGCCCCAAACCAAGATCCGTCTTTGGCTCTCGCGTTATGGAATAGTGCGTGTACTCTTGGTCCCGTCCTCAATGCTCATGTACAGCTCGTTTGTACCACAGGTAAAGTCACGAATGGCGCGGAGCGAGCTCCAGTAGCCGTTTAGTCGTCGCGCGCGAGCCGCCGAACGCTTCCCGCATCTCTAATCACGGCTCAGACGGGATGTGCAAAGACTGCTGCAATGACCTTTGCCGCGAGGCGAATCTCTTTGATGATTATGTGCGACAGCGACAACACTCCTCGTGCTCTTTATACCAGGAGGCGAAGTTTCGGACGATGCTCAGGAAAGGAGCGCGTTCCGAAACGCCGCCCGCAACATATGTATTGCTTTCTGTCAATGGCTGCGTTGCCGAGCAACCTAGACAACACCATTGCGCGACTCCATTCGCAAAGAGGGGGACGCGCCGCGACGGCGACAACGCCGAAGCGTGAACCGAGGACGTGAACGTGCAGACAATCGCACGTTTCGCTCAAAGCTTCACGCACAGCACAGTATGCTGAATAATGGTGCCTTCGCAGCGCAGCCACAACAACCCGGTGAGTTCGCCAACTATATCTCTTTCTCTTTCTCGCGGAAGGCGTGTGGCTCCAGTGAACCACCGCGGCAACACGTATAGGCGCCCGTATATGTTGGATTTATAGACGCCCACGACGCGTGTCTTGGCGCCAGCTTTGGCGCCTGGGACCGCGGAGTGGGCGATCGCGCATACGTGTCGCTCAAAGTGTGGCAAATTCATATATAGGGGTGTGTCTCCTCGTCTTCCGTATGCTCAGGATAAAGAGTATCATGGAAGTGAGTGACGTACGGCTGTATATCGCTACCACGACGTCTGGATCTGCTAGATCGAGTCGTCTTCGCTGGCGATGGTCTCGCAGATCATGCCATCGTGTGTTCCAGTCATTAGCGCATTTTCGCGGCCGTCGAGAGCATGCTAGGGCGTCGCTGGGAGGGCTGAGATTCGGATGAGGATTGCATGGTCAAGAGGCGAGCGTTGTTAGGCGCTGATTTAAGCCACATCTTCACAGCGTGCCATTGCGCGATGTGATTATGTAGAGCGCTCCGCTCGGACCGTCCAGGAGGGGCCAGGGTATATATGCGCCGAGGACTCGAATCGCGGGAAAACTCCCTCTTGTCCTCCTACCTCCATCTCCTCGCTCGCCCGCCCCTCTCTCTCTTGACCAGTCGCTCTCAGCGCATCCTGAACCCGTCCGCGAGATGCTCTCCTTCTGCTATGACCCGTTGTCTTTTCGCTTCTCAGCAGTCTTCGTTGCTAGGGACTGGCTCCTCGTCTTCCACCTCCTGAGCTGAGTGTCGAGGTCTCATCTAGGTCTCGTCTTAGGTTGCTACGACAGAGCAAGAACGCCGAGTTCATCATATTGGGCACATCGTACGTCTCCCCTTCTCTGCTCTCCAGCAGATCGTCATCCACGACAGCGCCTTCACGGAGCCTGTCTGAGATAAGACTATGAGGATTGAGGTAGCAGCATATCTTGGGCGGTAAGCACTTCGACCTCTTTCCTTATCCCTTCTCTGCAACTGCCCCTGCGCCTCTGCGGTCGCCGCGCCAGTTTGCGCTGTATCCGTGATGCACCCTCGCTGGTCTCATAAGATGCAGGATGCTCAACATGGGTTAAGAAGACGAGACAATAGTGGTGAGACTTCATGCTACCCCCTATATCTTCACTCTTGTTGTGGGGTTCGAGGTCTCCCCCTGAATGCGTCAATCTATTCTCATTGTTAACTTGCATTACGCTGATCGGCGTAGGTAGGCGTCACACCCGACCGCGGTGCCTCGCGCTGGGTCCATACAAGCGGGCCAACATTCTGATTGTGAGTGCCGACTGTAGAGCGTCTGACGTCTCGGAATTTCTGCGGGGCCCACACTAGTAAGCATTAATCCATTTTTGACGAACGAAGTGTGCTAACCCGGAAGTCCCTTTGTTGGGCTGCGACATACCGCTGTCGCCGACGTCAAATGACCTCCGAAATCTGTTGAGCTCTGCAACGCAGCACCCGGGAAAGCCCTCGTGGATACGTTCGACTCGCGCAGCAACGACGTCAGATGAGATAAACGTACGCGGGACGCTGCGCGCCAGGCGGATCTGCAAGCGTCTGAAGGGCGTTGGTCACGAGTTACGGCGATGGCCAGGCACGACCCTCGAATGTTGAAGACGCATTGGAAGGGCGCTGTCCGATGTCCTGGGATTCTCGGGAAGGAGTCGGATACCGTGGACCTTGCGCATACCCGGCAACGTTACCAGAACTCGGACGTCGTGATTAAGAGGCCCATAGGCCGTTCAGGGCGGGTGCAACGCGTGCATGAGTGGTCGTACCGAAGGCAAAGCAACAGCGTGTTTTCACCTCTGGTCCCTCCTCACGGTGGCGCGTGTAAATCTCCCCGTGCATACTTAAGCTTGGCCTGCGTTGATCCCCGTGTCGGAGGTGTTGACCTATGTGCTGTAGGGACAGCGGTATGCCGCACAGCCCCGGATGTGTAGACCAGGACGAGATGAATCGAGGGTCGCCGTCACACATCCGTGCTCGCCCGTGTCGATCGTCGATATGAGCAGCTAGTGATACGGGTGCGAGCGCTCAGTACAGAGATGGGAAGGCAAGACTTTATAATACACCATGTGTCGCACGGAAGATATCCAATTATATACACGTCCATAGGTTACGTCGGGTGGTACAATAATCTACAACACAACCAAACACGCTCGGCGCGCCGGGGCGAGAAGGCGACCCCGATAGAGTGAGGCGGCGTTCGTGAAGATCAGCCAACGCAGAGGTGGTATGCTACTGTCATCGCGAGAACATGTACAAGTCAGCGAGCGCTCGAGGTTCCACATCGAAGAGAAAGCACTTACTCTCAGCGGTGCTTCCTCGCGTGCGTGGTCTGGTCCTTCGCCCGGCTGCCTCTCCAATGTTTAGGACAATCCTCTCCGTAGACCGGGCACAGGTACCCATACCCGATATGGTCCCGCTCGATATGGGCCATCATCTTCGTCCCCGCAAAGGGCAGCCCGCAGTTGCCCCAGCCGCAGACCAGCTGGTTCGCACTCGAGAGCAACGCGATCGCGTAATGCTTCTCCTTTATGTGGTCGCGATTGTTGTCGCCCGACGTTGGGTGGTGCTGGAAACCACAGCAGGTGAAGCCACAGATGGATGCCGTGAGCCCGGGAACGAGAGTGGTCGCAATCTCTGCGTTCGTGCGACGCGCTCGCTTTACGTGCGGTGCAGGATTGGTGGCGGGAGCGGGGACGGGAGCGGGGGCCGGAACGGACACAACATCGTCGGGGGTCTGGTCGTTGTTGTTCTCGTGGTTCTGGCTGGCTCCTTCTACAGCCTCTGGATACGACGCGCCCCCTTCCAGGTCTACGCCGGCGACGTCTTCTGCTCCGAACTCCTCCGGATCTTGTACAGAGCTGAATGAGCCAGTGGCGACAGATCCTTCGCCGCCTACGGCAACAACCATCGCGCCTTGGCGCTCGTCTTCCGCCGCCTGTGGTGCCTCAGTCTCTCCCTCGTGCGTTTCCATAGCCGTAGCCACCTCTTGAAGCACTACGACTTCTCCCATGTCCATCCTGGTCCTCTTGTGCAAGGGCCCGACCTCAACATCATGGTCTATGTCGCTCGTCCGAGTGCGCTTGTTGGTCGAGTGAGGCTCTCGCGGAAGTGGGGAAACAGCAGGAGGAACGGCGTGTTGAGCGTGAGACGTCCCCGATTCCAGGCTTGGAGCATACGGGGAGGATGCGTTGGATGGCAAGCGACACGCAGAGCGCGTCGAACGCTTGCGACGGCGTACGGGGCGCCCCAAGGAGATGGGTCTGTCGGTTGGAAGTGGGAACGCGAAGGTCGGGAATTCCTCGTCTGGCCGAGTGCGAAAAAGAACATTGTTGCGCTCATCCAGCCAGAGATCTGGACCCACCGGACCATCGAACGGTTTACGTGTCAACACGTAGGTCGACGTGAGTTTGTTCTCCAGATTGTGGAGAGCGGCGAATCCCAAGTTCTTGTTGTCGTACTCCTCGATGTTAAGGGCCTCCGAAGCGGCAGCCTCTGTGGTTGTGCCCAAAATAGCCTCAGCCAGCACGCGAGAGAGCGCCTGGGTGGACTCAAGGACCGCGACGGCGTGTGAGACGTTGTTCCAGGGCGACTTGAGGGCGTGTGAGATGACACGACAGGGTAGGTAATATTAGCCACATACCTGAGCAACGGACTGGTCCTCTCCATCTTGCAAACGCACCTGCTGGTTGAACGCCGCTGGTGGAAGAGATACGGAAGCGAAGTACCTGTTGCCTTGAGAGGATGCGGGACTCGGCGCGTCGAAAGAGGCGGGGACCGGACCTGGATACGGGCCCGTCGACACCGCGGCTTCCCCAGATGCGATTTGCTGCAGACTCGCATTCGTTGGGAGGCAATGGTCGGAGCGACATGAGGTACTCACCTGGGCGCTCACAGAGCCATGCGAGGGATAGTTTTCTCCGGAGACATCGTCGAATCCCATGTAGGCGGCGGCGGCGGAGGGGGCGGCAATGTTCGAGGTGGAGTGCATGTTGTAAGATTTGGGTATGCGTGAGAATGGTGGGTGCGAGTAGATATCGGACGAATGTCGCGGGGGGATACACTAAGTGGGAGTGAGGCGGCGATGGTGGTGGGTAGTAGATGAGATGGTGTGAGGGTTGGTCTAGGGAAGAGAGGGCGAATTTATACACATACCACTTTAGGGAGTTGGGTGCAATCACATGAACATCGACGCACTCGAATTCCATTGTGTACATTGACGCCGTGCATCGATTGGCCTGACATATTCCGGCACGTTTCCTGACCAAATATCAGCAAACGAGACCGTGCGAGTGTTTACGACTCACCAGAAGTGTTCTACTTGATAGGCTGCGGCCCCAGACGTGCGCCCCGATTTTTTGACCGTAAACCAAAAGACATGATGTACGACCGCACCCCGCGAAGCGATGCGCGAACGAGTATCGGAAAGATACAATCGCGCTCTCACGATTCCAGAAGGTAGCCTTCCACATTTCCCCTTCGTATTGACAGAGTCGTCTTGTGGTATCATAGGTGACGGATGCGCGGCGAGCAGGCCATCCAGAGAACGGTTTCACCAGAGATGTAAGCATAAGACGTCCCTTGGAAGAGCAATGATCGGTTATCGACGGCTTGGGAGTAACACGCGATCTAGTATAGCCCAAAAACGCAATTGTGTGTGCAGAGATTGTAGGAGATATGGATGGTCAGTCTGTGTGGTGGGTTTCATCATCGTAGTCATCCCAATCGTGTTCAGTTATATAGGCAGCCTGCACTATCAATGGAGTTGGACGTCGTCCGAGTCTTTCGCTCTTGCAATGGGTTTGATTCACGATGTGGGACGACTACGACAAACACGGTATGCAGCCTTGCCCTCGCACAAAGGTCACCATGATCACTTTAGTGACTACATACTATACATCCGACTACTACGGCGAGCTCCTCCCCAACAAAACGTCCCAATAACGATCGTCCACGCGTCACCATGCAACGCTCTCTCACGAAAGCGAGAACCGTTCAGGACGAATGTAGGCCTCCATCCATTGAGAACGAAAGATCATTCGGCTCTCTATTGGGACAATGCAAGAATCCTACGGTGATGGAATCGAGAAAAGGAACCAAGGCCTATGTTCAAACACAGCCTTTCGTAAGGGAGGCGTACATTGAACATGTAGGCAAAGACACTCATTCAGACGACTCCGTGGCATTGCAGCGCACTATGTATTCGTTGCTGTCCTCCTTTTGACATTAAGATGTGAATCAGTATCAAGCGAGCAGATGGAATACGTATATTTCGTCGATGAAACTGAATCCTTAACCTCCGCTCGCGTGATGTAGCTCTCTACATCTGTGCGGCAAAGCGATTGCCCGACACGCACTCCCCGTCTCCGCCTCAGGCACGGTGAGTACGACACGCCGAATAGGGAGTACCTTCGAGACCCGACTCTAGAATATATACCGAACCCGCGCGTCATAGGGTGGAAGTTTCATAAACTGCATGTTATACTACAAGTTATATATATGTGGTACATGAGTTACAGAGCGCTATAGTCCTCCTGTCGCGCGACTACGGTGATACAGCATAGGAACCGAGAACGCTTCATGATATCTTACGTCCTGCGTGACGAAACAGAGTCGATTAGCAGACTGCACGACAGGAGCATGAAGACTTCACTCACGGCGGTCGCCAACCCTTGTGATTCCTGGCCAAGTGTTGCGGCAGGTCCCCGCTCCGGCTCGATGCCCACTTGGTGCAGCTCTCAACGGGGCAAGTGTACGCCCGGCCCACATGATCCTGATGGAGGTGGGTAATCATCTTATTCCCCGGCTTCCGCGTCTTCGTCCACCACTTCCTCTTCCCCTTCCCCTCCTGCATCATGCATTCTGTCCAAAGACACAGCAGAGATTCGCTACTGTCGAGCGCGCCCACAGGATAGTGAAGCTTGAGGTGATCACGGTTTGCGTCGTGTGTGAGAGGGTCGAACATGATCAGGCAACCCTCGATGGGACATGAGACCTTTGGAAGGTCTGTGCGCGTGACCGCCACGACTTGGGCCTTGGTGCGCCGGTCCCGCTTTGTGCGCCCCGCCGTCGCCTCCATCCCGTGTGATGCGTGCGCATCGTCGGCTTCCGAGTCCTCTTCCATGTCCGTTTCACTCCGGCGCGCCCTCGCCCCAGGCAGATTCGATGGGCCCGCAACTGGTGGGCCAGCGCGGGTTGCAGCGACGGCCTTGCGCGCGCGGCTTCTCTTCGTGACGGCTTGACCGGCGGCGGTTGCCCGAGCCTGCCCTCGAGGTGCCTTTGCCTTCTTGGCTTGATGAGGCGCATCTGAAGAGTTTCCGTCTTCTGTATGAGGACGCTTTGAGTCGGTCATCGATGTCGAGATCTCGGAAGAATGTATTGTTTGCGGCGCTGTCGTGGCGGGCGCATCCTCGTATGAACCAGATGACCCCGGCAGGACGACCTCCTCCGTGTTTGACTTTGCCTTCTTGTGCGAAGGAGTAGCACCAGAATCGTCTACCTCACTCGAGCGAAGGCGCTTCCTCGGGGAGTGCAGCAGGCGCGAGGGCTGGGAGAGAATCAAGGGTATCGTTTGGGCGTATTCTGAGATGCGAGGTGGCGCTGCCTTGCGGCCGAAGACCTGCGTGAAAGAGAAGGTGGGCCGAACATGGCTCGCTGAGGGCGATGGACGCTCGCGGCGTACGGCGTTTGTGGTGGAGCTGCGCCTTGGGGGAGATGATAGCGCGATAGTTTCAGGGGTATACGTGGTAAGACGTATGCTGTCGTCCACGAGCTTCAAGCTTGACGGAGCGACCCCACAGTCTTCGAACGGCTTGCGAGTCGATGCGTATACCAACTGGAGGCTGTTCTCAAGATCGTGGGGAGCGTCTGCAATCCAATTCTCCTTGTCGTACTCCACGACGTCGAGGGCCTCCGATGCGGGACACTCGGTGTTCGCGCACGATATTGCCTCAGATAGAAGGTGAGACAGAGCCTGCGTCCAGTTGAAGACCGCAACGGCGTGCTCGACACTGCTGTAGGGCGACTTCAGAGCATGTGAGCGAATGGAAACTGCACGCGTAGTTTAGCCATATACCTGGAAGACGGTTTCACCCTGCCCGTATCCCATGGGTCCCTGCTCTAACTTGCCAGCATGAGAAAGCAAACCAGGCGCGTAACTGTTTCCTCCTTGGCAGGTTGTGAGGGGAAACACCCTTGAAGAGATGTGGTCCTGTGCCGATTGTGCGTAGGTCGACATTTGCGGGAACAGCCATGCGCCCTGCTGGAGGCTTGCATTGGCCCGAGGGCAATGGTCTGAGCAAAATGAGGAACTCACCTGGGCCTGACCGGAGTTGTACAAATGAGACGTTGTGGTGGACCCCTCCTCGAGGTGCGTGGAAGTGGAGATGGAGATGGAAGATACAGCGTTGTTGGAGGCGGGGGACATGTTGTTCGTTATGAGTGTACGGTAGTGGTAGGTGAGTACGAGGATTTGTCGGATGGACGTCGCGGGGGAGTGCGCTGAGGGGGCAGTAAAGTGGTGAGGGGGCCGTAAGGCAGAGAATGTGGTGTATTGTGGATAAGATGGTGTGAGGGTTGGGTTTTGAGCGGGAGAGGGCAAATTTAAACACCTACCAATTTAGGGAACCAGACGCCATTCCGAGACCATCGACGCACGCGGCTCCCATTGTGTACATTGACGCCCTGTATCGATTGGCCCGACACATCCCGGCACGTTTCCTGACCACATATCAGCACACGAGACTGTGCGAACGTGTTTAAGACTCACCAGGAGTGTGCTGCTGGGTAAGTCGGCGCCCTAGGCGGCGGTGCGCTCGCAGAAGTTTTAGAACCTCAGGTTGAGAATTGACGGCTTGCGTGATGGGTTTTATCGTCGTGTTCACCCCCATCACGTTCAGCTATATACACTGCTTACAATCCCGATAGAGTGACTCATTTACCTTCGCTCTTACAATGAGCTCCATTATCGACGTTGAATGACTACTGCAATATGGTGGGCACCACGCCCTCGTACAAAAGGAACCATGATCAATGCTGGTGACCACAGAAACAACTGACTACGGCATCGCCAGTATGTCTTCGTAGTGGTCCTTCACCCACTGGATCCCATACCACAGAAGTTATCGAGAGCAAGAGCCATTTAGGAAGAACATAGGTCTCCATCCATCAAGAACCAGAAACCAGTCAGTTCCCTATTGGCACACTGAATGATTCCCGCAGCGGCGTGCTCAAGCAAACGAAATAATATCTCTCATTAAAACCGCCTTTCCGTGAGCGACGCTCCTTGAGCATGTAGACAGAGACACTGAGTAACTCAAGCTTCTTTGTGCGGAACGAGATCCCAAACAGTCCTGGCAAGCAGCGTGGTTCAAAGCATGGTGCACTTCAACGATGTCTTTCTCTTGGGCATCAAAACGCAAACCTGAACATTCCTAGGTGCCTGCTTCCAAGATGACAAACTTGCCGGGGAAGACACGGGACCCAGTACATGGCACGGGGTAGAATATTTGTACAACTACATGTATTACTACAATTTATCGATACATGATACATCAGTCCACGGAGCGTTAAAGTGCTCTTATCGCGTGACCATGATGAGAAACATAGAGCCCGGGAGAGGTTGGTTACGACGCCCTGCAGGACGAGATGGTGTCTGTCAGCGCACGGTACAACGAGGAGAGCATCCACAAACTACTTACTCACGATGACCGCTAGTCTTTGTGCCTCCTCGCCAGGTGTCCCGGTAGATCTCCGCTACGACTCGACGCCCAATTCCATTCGCAATTAGGAATAGAACAAATGAACGCCCGCCCAACATGCTTCTTGTGGAGGTGCGTGATCAATCTCGTCCCCGCCGGCCGCGCCTCGCAGTCAGTCCAGAGACAGGGAAGGGAAGCTTTGGCGTCGAGCGCGCCCTCCGCGTAGTGTCCCTTCAAGTGGTCGCGATTCGCGTCGTGGGTGAGCGGGTCGAACTTCGTCTCGCAGCCGTTGACAGGACATGGGACCTTTCGAAGGTCTGTTCGCGTGACCGCCGCAACTTGGGCCTTTGTGCGCCGGTCCCGCTTGGTGCGCCCCTCCATCGCCTCCGTCCCTTGGGATGTGTGGGCATCGTGATCGTCAGGGTGCTCTCCAAATTCTGTTCCTTCCGCCGCTGCCATGGGGATGTTTGATGGGCCCGCGACCGGTGATGCAACGCGGGCCACAGCGACCGGTTTGCGCGAGCGCGTCTTGACTCTCTTTGCGGTGGCCGGGCGAGTGGAGGTCGTCCGGGTCTCCGCTCGGAGTGTTCTGGCCTTCTTCGCTGGACGAGGTGCATCTGAAGCGTCCTCGTCTTCGGCATGATAGCGCTTTGGGCCGCCCATCGCCGACAGCATCTCGAGTGGGTTGATCGCTTGCGGCGCTGTCATGGCCGGCACGCTCTCGTCCTCGTATACACCAGACGGTTCCAAGTCTGGGAGGGGGATAGAGATGGCAGTAGGGAGGGCGATGTCGAATGGATACGCGACCGGGAGTCGGGCAGTGCGGTTGGCGGCAGACGCGGGGAAGAAAGAGGGATCGTCGACCCGAGCAGGATCTTTCGCAGGCAGGAAACCGTAATCGTACGCACACGAGAGGGGTGATAGATCCGCGCACTTCTGATCAAAATCGTCGCCAGAGGCCTCCTGTGGGAGATATTCGGCCGCGGTATTGAATCCTTCGTGAAGTCCGAAGCTAGGTGTCTCGAGACCCCCATTGCCTGCCCAATATGCACCGCCGTGCGGCTCGTTCCAAAGGCTCCCCGTAGCGGTCTGCTGTTCACCGTACGAGAATGCACTTCCTCCGAAGTCGAATGCGAGAGACTGAACGAATGAGTGAGCCAAAGGGACACGACTCACGCAGCTAGCCACATACCTGTAACATCGCCCCGCTCGCGTCGCTCTGCATCCCAGGCTGCTCTGACCCATAGGGCAGTGAGGCGCACCCCTTGTACGAATCTTGAGGGCCGAGCCACGCGCTGGAAACCGAACGCATGTTGACCTGGGGCAACCCTCCCTCCTCAACCAGGTTCTGTTGCGCGTGAGCGTCGATATCATCTCCGGGGGAACGTACATCGAGTGCTGCGGGGGGGCTTACCGGAAATTTAAAGGGACGGGGGGAGCCTTTCCCGACTTGCGATGCAGCTTGAGTCGGCGACAAGCGGGAAATGCGCGATGAGGACGGGCCGGCGACGTTAGCCATGAAGTCGAAGTTGAAGCTGCTGTTCATCTTGTAAGTCGGTGTAGCGGTGATAAAGGGTTTGGTAGTGAGCGATGAACGCTTGATGTAGAGACTGGGGAGGTGGGATGGAGGGAAAGCTGGAGAGTGGATGTAGGTGGTGGAGAACGAGTGAGCGAGTCGGGAGAGAGCAAGCGCTAGTGTTCGGCGGGCGGTTTGGCGCCTTTGCCCGGACAATGAACACCGACGCGCTCGACTCTCTCCCCGGCCACGTTATCAGACCCAGAAAGGCACTCTCAAGCAAAACTCCTACTTTGGATCAGTACGCATCACACTACGACTTGATCGTTCACTCACTAAGCTCCGTACAGTCAACGACGGTATGTACCGCAGGACGACGCGTGGGGTGCTCGTGAACGCGTAGCTCATGGCCCTGTTTCCGGGCTTCGACCCTGGCGAAGCGATGCATCTTCATGTCTGCGGGTACGCCGCCTAGAACGATGGGAGGAGCTGGCCTGCCTGGCCTCGCCGAGGAAGAAAACGTTGAGCCAAGAGGAAATTCCATCCAGTCGCGCGGTGAGCTATATATGGCACTGTTTCGTTTCTGTTCTGACTAGCCTTGCATTGCATTCAGCACCATAATGCATCTGCTTCAGTCACGCTCTGCTCTTCCGAAGGAAAGGTGATGTGTTTGGAAGAAATGACAAGGGTGTCCTCTGTCTTCGGTCGCTCGTCACTGCGGCGAACACTCTTCGTCTCTTTTTAGCGAAAATGGACTTCAAACCAGCGGGATTCGTAAATAGAGCATAGAATGCGCATAGAAGAAGGCACTCCGCTTAGAAAGAGAACGCCAGGGCCTGAAGATTCGAATCGATGGGCCCGTCTTCAACACGCACGATACAAAGGTCAATTCGTTCAGCACAGCGACTCGGATTATTCCATCTGCGACGCGTCAAGGCCATTGTGCAGATGAAACGGCATCCTTAATTAAGAAGTAAGCTGCGCATCTTGTTTACAAGGAGCATATTCCCAGAAACCTTTATCCTAGGTGACGATTCGGAAGACGCCCAACCTGAAGGGGCGCTTTCCGAAACGTCACCAATGCGGCGCAAATCCACCATGCGCTTAGTTATGCCCACGTATTTTTCAGCGGCATAACGGGGTTGTGCCGCTCAATCCTCCTCTTTCATACCTGGTGTTCTCCGTGCATACTGCAACCATGCGAGTCCAGTAGTGACACAGACGCCCAGAGGGTGTACGTTAGCGCCCGATGACAACGTAAGTACCTCTCCATGAACTTCGCGGCGCATCAGGCCGCAGAGCGCAAACTTGACATACGTCTGAATGAGAAATGGATGTGCTCACGGAAGCAAATCGCAAAGGCCAGCATATTGCCAACTGTCGAGCTACGCGATGTAAAAGTTGAGGATCGAGTCAGCTCTCGTTTTCCCACGTGTCTCACATCATGTACCGGTGAGCCGTAGCTCATTTGCGCATTTGTCGTGCGTAAAGACCGGGAATGTATAGAGAGACCAATCATATGAACAGTGACCCAGAGTTATGCAGTTGAGAGGGACGAAGGAAGAAAGCTGGCTCGTCGTTCGATGGTTCGATGAGCGGTGCCGCTGTCACGGCAGAAGACGGAGATCAACCCGCGTCTCTCCGACCACCTTGTTCTCCTGCCGCCATGCTCTCAGCCTCGCATCATACCCTCAGCACTTTCTCTGCATGTCTATGAGGCTCTATACTATTATTCAAACCTCTTTCTAAGTGTCGTTTCTCGTTCCTAACCTGGCCTCATCCAGAACATACGTGCGGCATGGGCCACTTCTGCCACCTCATCGATCGTCGCGCCTCCATATCCTTGCGATGGACTACGATCATACATCGGCCTCAAGCCGGTGCTTGTCACTGGCGCAAGATACCGCGGCAGTCTCGATGGAGCTCTGGTTGTCCAGCCAACTGGGTGTCCGGACCCTTGAAGGATGGTAATCAGCAACCCTCGCCGTTTGGTTTCCTTGCGCTAGGCTCTCGACTCACAACTCCGGATGGCTTTCGTGCAAATCCCTGCGGGGCATGTTTTGATGGGCTTCCACAGGTAAGCATCTTCTTTTTCTTTTAGAACGAGGAGCCTCCCGTCCCCACACCGCGCAAGCATATTGCGATGTGCAATTTCGAGAGGCTGAGGTTGTACGAGCAACGATCTTATATCTGCGCTCTAGGGAGTTTGGTGGTCACATCGCTGTATGCCTTCTTGTTAGAGGATAGCGAAGCTCAATGATATCAATCGTCCCAGTTATTTTTGCTCATTTTGCGCGTTCTGACGGGTACGCACCCAGTTGCGTGTCCAGGCCGTGTACTGAATGCTCGCACTGCGTGTAAAGTACCAGTACGTGCTTAATTTTGGTCTCTCGTCGCGCAAATGCTTTGATCCATATAGGCTCAGCGTTGGACTCGGGTCGGAAGTATCGACCTACGTGCTGGAAGCATAGTTGTACGTCGCACGGCCTCGCACGCCCAAACCGGGAAGACGTGCAATCGTGGACAGCCGTCGCACGCACACAGTTTAAGGTAGTCATATCCCCAAGTTTACTCCTGTTCATATTGCCTTTCTTGATGGGAGTCCTGCGATAGGCGTATGGAGCGTAGCGTTGACCTAACGTCGAGCCCTTGTAGCGGCGGTGTAGAATGAACGCTGGATAATTATGCACGCTCCCATAAGTCACAACAGGTGGCAACAACCTACAACGCGACCAAACACCCTCGCGCGCTTGAATGAGACTGCACCTTCTCGGAGAACGAGATGTCCGCCATGACGCTGTATAGTGCCCAGCGCCTCGGAACGCCAGAACAGCTTTAAAGGTGACTTCCTGAGCTGTTTGGTGTACAAAACGTCTGTCCTGACATCACTTGCAGGAGAATACAGCGGCCACGCCCAGGACCAAAAGAAGAAGCCCCCAAGCTTAAGTGAGCGGGAAGTAGTACGTGAACTAGAAGTTCATCGACTTCGGCTGCATGTAGCAAGGAGGTTCTGCGGACAGTGGCAAGGCGAATATCCAAGGAGATGCCTTTCTTTCGCTTCTTCTCTTCGACTCAGACACATGCGACGTTGTGACGAAGGAGAGTGAAAGATCGCGAAGGTCTATCGCTCGTGAGGAGTGAGCTGCGGCGCGTTCGAGCGAATGTCGAAACTGCGGTAGGTTTCTGTGGTCGCGTTCCTCAACCCTAGGATTCTCAAGCCGTTCCAGGTATGTCGACCCCCACAGCATCGCCCATCCCGCCGAACTCATAGCTCCTGTACGATAATGACGTCGAACAGGCCTCATCCTACCGACGGTTACCAAGCGAGACGGTTCCCGGTATTCAGGCTGATGCAACAAGCGCGTCAGCGACGTGTGCGACTACCACATCCAACACGCCGTGGAGAGAAAGCGCGCCACGCGTCCAGAGTTCTCTATAAGGTATGTCCCTTGTCTTACCATTCCTGACTGGGCCCTGACCACCCTCCTGGCACAACGAGCGGCATGTCGATGGCGGCGAAGAAGGAGGACACGTATGATCCGGCGTGACAATTGGGACTCAACTTAGCCCGAGCGCGAAGCCGCTGGCGTGATCTACGTCGTGCAAGGCAATGTCATATCTGGGGCGGACTCGCGCTCGATGTACGTGGGCGAGAACGTCGGGCGCGATGGGCAAACCAAGGTCGCTCGCATGCTCTCCGCAGTCGACTCCGAGAAGACTCTGCAGCCTGCAGCTTCTCACGTGCGACCAGGAAGGTACGAAAATCCTGGCATCTGCGCGCGAGTTCTCTAAGAAGCAGGCGGCGGAGATGAAGCAGCAAGACGGCCCATTAGATATGGGCTGTCGCTTGGCAGAGGACAAAAAGCTCTCAACACGGTACACTGACGACGTGCATGAAGTCAGCGGGGGCCCGCCCAGCAGCTCCAAAAAGCCAATGCAGCCTCGCACAAACAACGTCTGCAATGACACATGTGGAGAACTTCATCCGCGGATGTTTCGTATTCTCAAACACCTTCCAACCTGAGTCCTTTTTCTCTAAACATGGAGATGCTTCCTGTCTGCTATCAGGCGTCGAAACAGAATTTATGGACGTTCAATATTGAATTCAAGTTGAGCTACGCAGTACTAGTACAGAAGATACAAGAGGGTCCGATATACAAATGCGAGTCCGAGTGGTGTCCATCTTTGCTGTTTACAGTACAGTATACATTGTTTGGAACCATCGTACAGTATACATTGTTTGGAAACATCGTACATCGAAAGCAGAAAACTTGAGAGATACTCTGCACTAGGCGAAAACGTAAGCACATAGGACGACGTGAGAAATCAAGACACTCACAGCTCATCGCTTCCAATCCTGAACCTTATGCCATTTGCGCATATGCTGCCCCTGGTAGCCCGAGCGAGAACTCCTCCAGCCACACCGTACAGGGCACAGGTATGGCAGCGTGAGGTGCTCGGCCTCGACATGGCCGAGCAGCTTCTTTCCCACAGGGGTCGTTGTGCATCCCGGGAAGGGGCACGCCAGGCCCGCATCGCTCTCCAATTGAGCGCTGCTGAAGTGTTTGGCGAGATGCGTGCGGTTGTCCTTGTGCTGGTAAGGATTCAACTCGAGTTGGCAATCGACGACTGGGCACGCGTGATTTCGCAGATTGAGAAGCATGTCTTCCTTGACCTCCTCGCAGGTTCGACGGGGCCTCTGAGTGTGCGTCTCGGCGGCGTCCTCCACTTCCCCGAGTGCAATCTCTGCTTCAGGTTCATCTGGAATCGCTGGTGCTGCGACTGCAGTCGAGGCCCGACGAGACGGCCCCGCGAACGCTGCCTTGTGGGATCTGCCATGGTTCATAGCCTGGACCTTGGTGCCTTTGGAAGTCTTCCGCTGACGCTTAGACACAGCGCCTTTGACAATCTTCTGCTTTTTCGCGGGCAAAGGGGCGACGTCGGCGTACGTTGGCGTCGCAGTCCGCTTGCGACTGCTCCTCCGCAATGTAGGCTCCGAGTCAATGACGGCCGCCATCACGTTGGTGTCGGTGAAGTTGTCGGGAATGACCAACCCGGGGGGCGAGGGGGCGAACTCCATAGCAGCGGCACTGGACGACGCCGCATGATATGATTCGGAAGCCTCCGCGGAGTACTCTGGGACAGCAGAGAGTGGCTCCAAGGACTCGCTTATCAACTGGGACAGGCGAGCAGACCTCGGAGAGCCTGATGGGTCGGGAGCGGAACGTGACTCTGAAGGCGATGAGCTCTCCACAAAGGTTTGCAGCATCGCGCTGCATCGATGCGCAGGAGAGGGCGTGCCCGAACGCTCCACCCGGAGGTTGCGACCAGGGCTGCCAGGTTTCCCTTCGCCGGAGTGGGAAGCTATGGAATCAGGTGTCTGAGGCGCCTCAATGTTCTCTTTTCCGTGCCGCGTAGGAGTACCTGGTGGGTGGCCAGAGCACTTCGCTTCACGAATCGTAGGAGACTTGGGGGAGAAATCGTAGTTTGGGAGCAAGTCGTCCAACGAGGGTCCCGAGTGGCCCACCCCCAGGAAATCCACGACCTACTCAGCCCAGTCGAAGTCAGCGAAGTCGCACGCGTACCGAGCCTCATCAGCTACGCACCTTCATTCGTTTCCCCTCGTCGCTGCCGGCGAAGCCTGAGAACCCGGACCGCGTACTTGTGGACTGGGGAGGGATGGGAACGTCGATGAACGCTAAATAAGAAGGGGGGAAATCCGCAAAAGGGTCGTCGTACTCCAAGAGGTCGTCAAAGCACGTCTCAGACGACTTAAACTCGTCCTACGATGAGCGATTAGCACACTGCCCTTACGTGCAAGCCCGGGAGTCCTTACTGTCGACGCAGTCATCGGGGAGCTAGGCTGCCAGAGGAAGGGGAGCTCGTCGTCGGACGCAGCGGGAGACTGGGAATCCATGGAGGAGGCGTCCAGCGTGGAGTGGAGGTTGTAGTAGTATCCGTTGAACGACATATTGTGATATGGAGATGTAAGTGGGGTTGTGAAATACGGGGTGTGGGTGAGTGCGAGGGTGGAGGGGAAGGCTTGTGGATGAAAGTAAGAGGAGAGTATGTTGCGGTGTGCAAACAAACAAACACTCCGCCTTTTATGGGCAACGGCACATGGCTTAGCGCCGTACATGACCTTCGACACACTCGACTCTTCCATCCACATTGACGTTGCCACAAACACCATCGTTTGGCATACCCTGGAGGCATTTCAGCAGCTAAGAATTTTGTAGAAGTAGCTGACGCACCAGAATGAGCCTCTGAGGTGGACTGCGGATCATGGCCCGCGACCCCGGTGTCTCCCCGCGACCCGGCGCTGAAGAATCGCGCGCAAGTGTACAGCCGCCATGCACGCATACCGTCTTCTCCTGATTATAACCATGCAGTAAGTAGCCATTGTGGACGCGAAGTCGATGTGGACATACGAAGATGGTTGGCGTCGATAGGCCTAGAACTTCAGTCACTGAACGACACTGAGATGCTTTTGGTTGTAGCTCGATGTCGACGCGCTCTTGTGAGGCACAGCAGTACAGCTACAGATTGTAGGAATCTAAGTGCGTGGATATCGAGGCGGAGGTTGCCCTGGTTTGCGACTCGAAGCTGGTGGATTCCGTGAATCATGATTTTCGATGTTGCGTCGAGCTCCTTGCCTCTTATACCTGCGACAGCGACACAGATACACAGTGGTACCACTCATAGACCGCATACCAGTCACTTTGGAACGATACGTTCAACGCGCATGGATGCTGGCAGCTTCGGATTTGCCAATGTCGACTTCGGGTGGCCTTCGCTGAGAGTCCCAAACACGAGACCGACCTTCGACTTTTATATCGTGGTGATAGTCATGGTAAGTAGTTTGTGATATCTTTTTGTCGCACGCAGTTGAGGGACATCTATCTTCGTAGATAAAGTCAAAGCAATTGCCTAGCGGGTGGATACGCGACGAAAGGGCATGAGAGTAGGTGTATACACGACATTGGGAGTGCATGCACAGAACACTGCAAAATACTTGGGCAAGGTAAGTGCAATTCGTAACAATCAGTGGCGGGGACTACACGCACTGATCTCTTTGCCCCAGGCGAAGTTCCGCACAAAGCTCAAGAAAGGAACATGTTCTGAAACGTCGCCGACGTCATGTATCTCTTTCGTCAGCGACTGCGCCGAGGCATGCATAGGCACATCACCAAAACTCAGTTCACTTCTCAAATTGAATGCCGCAGGATCCAAAGCTACAAACGGGAATACTGTACGACGGTCGCATGCAGCCAATGCTGACGACGCGGCACAGTCTACCACACCTTTCGAGAATCATGTTGCAGAAACCGCGTTATGCTGGAGTCTTTTGCATGTAAAACATGATTCCGGGTTTCTGTGAGTCTCTCCAACAACTTTACTCTTCCTGAAAGTGAAAGGCGCGCTACCCATGGAACGATTCCGTCGGGCTACCATAAGCGCCGCTCTCTTGAGAGATAGACGCCCGCGCCCGCGGTGTTTACACAAACCGTGAAGCGGCACTTTACGGGTTGTGTAAGGACCAAAAACAGCATATACAAGTGCCTATGGCGTTCACCGCGTTCGCGAGACATCCACGACAATGAGGAGCAGACTTACTGCCGTGTTTACATGCCACGTGTTCCGAATAAGCGAGTTTGAGTTAGTTGTTCCGGCCAGTCCCAGTTCACGTCCAGGTTGGCGGCGGACCTCAGCGCACATGGTATCAAGGTGTTTTCTATTATTTTTTGAGCTGATTTAAACCAGGCAGTGGACGGACACCGAGAGCCCAGAGTGGAGTGAGGGACGAGCAGGTCATCAGGCGCCCGACGTGGGCCGCGTGGTCGCGGAATCCGCGCGCGCCTGCCCTAGAGTGAATGGCTCTCCGCGGTCCTCGAGCTTGTTCCTCTGCCACCGTCCCCAGCTGCCTCTTCCTCTTCTCGATAAATGACTGACGCAGCGTGTTGTAGGAAAGCCAACACCGGGGTAAAAGCTGGCGCTCGACCACAGGACCAAATAAAACCACAACACGATGCGGCAACGGCAGGGCGGAGCGCTGTCTGCTGTTGGGGCTGAGTCCCCTCACGCACCTTCGAACTCGTTCGATGTGTCAACCACCAACCCGCTCATTTGCAGAGTGTACGGAGGGTATGCTTACATCTGCAGCTCCCGCATGTCTGGGCTACACCTCACAGTGGTTGGGAGAGGATAACAAGTTGACAACGCTTGTAGGGCCAAGGAGCCTAAACTCGGTGGCCATTTACATCGCGCCACAGAAGACATATCTGGACTCAAACAAAAACACTACGCAGCTCCACTCAGCACCGAGATTGACGTGCGAGGCGGATCGCCTCGGGGCGAAGCTACAAATTGCAGCATACGACCGGGGCGACCTCGCGCCACCGCAGTACATCACTCCACCCCACGGTACGTCGCCCGATTGCACGCGTCTTATAGTGGTTTATGCTAATACTTTCCTCCTAGGTCTTTACATGCGTGCCTCATGATTCTCGGGGTACGGGTCAAGCGCGCGTGCCTGACCCTGGCGCAGGCCTTTTCGTAGCTCCCGGGTCAAGTACTGGGCGGCCTGCAGACGTCGCCCGAGGAAACCAACGTGTGCAGTGAGTATCTCGTAGAGTACGATCAAGCGTGTTGCATTTGACAAGCAATGTAGCGTACTACTTCATGGTCGTGCTTGAGGAATGTCAAATGATACGCTGCTTGGACTGCGATGTGCGTGTCTCTCCACCAGGGTCGCCAGAGGACTAGACACAGTGTTATAAAATCTGTAGTCAAACATAACGCTGCAACGATAAACTAAGTTTATTCCGCGAGGGATTCATGAACCAGCTGCGCAGCGTTTTCGGACCTTGGACGGATGATGCATGGAAACAATGTAGGTAGTCTTAAGACATGCATAGAAGTCAGCCTCTGTAAAATAGAACACAGCCCTAGCTTGCTCAAATAATGCATACCTGAATGAAGCATCCAGGTACTGTGGCTGCGGCTCGATAACATTGCCATCGGCGTCCGTGGCTTTAGTGAAGTCGAAGGTTGCGAGCGTGCACGCGATGGCGAGCCAGAGGTACGACTCGACGAGGTGCGTTCCTGTACATCTCCTACAGTACAGACACACGAACCTGAGCTCACTCGCAGGAAAAATGGGGCGAATGATCGCGCACCTCCTGCCGAATCCGAAGATGTAGTTCCGCGGATCCCGCAGACGCGCGGTCGCTTCGTCGACGTCTTCGAGATAACGCTCCGGAATGAACGCCTCCGGGTTGGGAAAGAGCGTAGGATCACGAGTCATCTTCCTGTGATTGCAGAGTGCGATGAATGAGAACCATATCAAAGATACGGGCCACGGAAGAGTGCAATACTTGCCATATATTGGCAAACACGATCGTGCCGTTCGGGATGAACATGCCTTCATACACGTCATTCTCTGTAGCTTTATGGGGAAGCCCTGAATGTCCGTTAAGATTAGGCTTTTGAGCAGCAAGCTGGGAGAGACTCACCCAAGGGAACTGGGCAGGTCCAGCGCATGCACTCGCTCATGATAGCGTCAACGTAGGGGAGTGCGTCGCGGTCGTCATTCGTGGGTAAACGAGACCCTCCCGTCACGGCGTCGATCTCTTCCTGGGCGTTGCGCACCACTTCTGGGTTCCGGACCATTGCCAGAACGAAATGGGTAAGCAAGGCTAGCGTCTGTCGTCCGCCTGCTCAGATGGTTTTTCTAGAGCTTACGAGGCCGAAATGAGCCTACCGTGTCGATACTGGCTATAGCGTGTCGGTAATGAGCAAATTTGCTAGCTTGTCGCGCTTGAGATACTCATACCTAAATACATCGCATGCGCAGTCCATTTGACGTCCGATTCATATTGCTTGTTGACAGTGCCTGAGCCAGCTTCTTCGTGGAGCAGTCTTGTGCAGTAGCATGGTGTAGCCGTTCCTGTACTCTATAACGGTGAATACGTTAGCCAAGGGGGATGAGATGAAGCGCACTGTAAGGTACTGACCATGCACTCTTTCACCCACTCAAACGGATCGTTGGCGCACTTCTCGATCTTCGCTTTCCACGCGGCAGCCTTGCGCCTGAATCCCGTACCGGGGGCCCAAGTAGGCAGAAGCTTGACTACAATCATAAGTGAGTACATATCAGGCGTAATGTATCACCGCGACGACGAGGACGCGTACGGGCGGGGCATAGATCCACCAACCAAACGTCGCCAGGTGTGCCCAGGATGTGGTTTGCAATGATGTCGATAGCTTCTTCAGCGCCCCGGATATGCGGATCATTGTCCTCGGAAACCTTGTATCCATACGCGATGGACATGCTCTGGCTGCCGGTATAACTGACATGCACGATTAGTCCTCTGCGATCCCGAACGCGAGAGTACTCATACCGCCGTATGTGATCGACATATTCCTCGGGTGAGTCCAGCAATCTTCTCAACAAGTCGGAGACCTCTGTAGTAATGAGGGGCTGGTACGCGGGGATACTTGATGGTGCTAAGGCGGTGTGTAGCAGTCGACGTTGCTGCCGGTAGTGAGTGGTTCCATATCCAGCGAAGGCGACCTGAGTGACACGATTAGTCCGAAGTGCATTTAGTGCGATATGCGATGCTGGTTCCCGTGGTACGCACAATATTGTCACAACCACACCTGAGGAATGCGTCAGAACAGCGAGCAAACCTGATATGGCCTATATACATACAGTTCTGACAGCATCACCGTTCGAGGCCTATCTGCATACATTGCACCACGCTTTTCGAGAATCTCTATCGTAGCCTCCACAGAGTTGAGGAAGAGGATTCCTTGGCCGAAGATTCTCATGTAGACAAGATCTCCTGTTACAAGACAGATACTAAGCGGATGTACAATCATAGACTGCGCAGGCGGCACGCACCATATTTCTGTGCCCATTGGGAGGTTACCCGCAACCAGAGCTCCTTGAGAGTAAAATCGAACAAGTTGCCAAATAAAGGGAGAGGCGGGGGCCCTGGAGGGAGATGTCTGCCTACGCGTCCCGGCCGCCGGAGTAGCAGCAGTGCAAAGCAGATGGCGATGATAGCACAGAGTATGGCAATTACCGGCATGATATTGGAAGTGTCTCGATGGCGGGGGAAGAAGGTCGAGTCTGCGCTCGCAAGTCCAGAGACAGTGAGGAAGATTTATAGGCTTCGGGGTTGGCGAGTCTGCACGAGTTTCAATCACGTATTTCCCGGTCAGGACACGCCCCTTAGTCGTGTATTTCTCCTCTTGTGCAATACACGAGGCAAAAGTGGTATCACCTGTCCACTAAGGTAGCCTTGAATGAGTCGGTGAACTTCCATGCTAACCCTTTTCAGCGTCATTATCCCAATTTGTCGTGACTTCCCTCGATAGAGCATCGTTGAAATGGAGTGTCGCATTCAGCCGGTCTTAGCGTCATACTCGAGCGACTCGGAGGGGGTTATGGCGGAGGTGAACAACCGCGACTGTACGATGACAGACTCCGCTTGACGAGTCCTGTACCCGCATGAGCGAGGCGCGTTACTAACGCGCCCAGTATGTTGAGCTACAGCGCCTCACGTTCTGGCGTCGGCCGGCCTTACTCCGTCGAATGACACGACTCGGACTCAAGCCACAGCTGCGACGTTTCCTGGAGAGGTAAGGGGTATCCGGTTAGAGACCGCTGCAATTATATAAGAATTGAAGTCGTACGAGTTGGACTTTGGATTCGGCGCCTTTGGAGCTGCTTGCAAGGCGCGGCTCCTTGGAAAAGCTCGAGCGTGTACATGAGCATGATGCTCGTGAGGCGGTGACATTGGCAATGTGCAATCGAGCCGATACAACAGAGATCTTGATAATACTATACACGGGTGCAGGTCCGAGCCATGTCCAGCTTTGATATCTACAGTATATTATACATTGTTGAAGTACATCTTACCAAATACATATTTTCGCGAGACAGCGCTGGACGGGGGCATCAGCACAAAGCCTAACGAGAACGCCCGACGCAACTCACCAACACTACTCCCAATGCACTCCCTCGTGCATCAGGTCCATGTGCTGCTTCTGGTAACTCGAGCGACACGATTGCCAGCCGCATCGGATGGGGCAGAGGTACGGGCGGCCGATGTGGTGGATCTCCATGTGTTGGAGCAGGTCTTTCCCCGGAACGGGCGCTTTGCACACATCGAAGACGCATACTAGATCCGCGTCGCCCTCCAAATCCGCAGTGTCGAAGTGCGTTTCGAGGTGCTCCTTGTTATCATCATGCTTGTACGGGTTCCAGATCAGCGCGCAGCCGTCTACGTCGCAGGCGTGTGCCGGCATCCCCGCCACCTTGTGCATGTCGACCTGCGCGCGGGTGCGTCGCGGCCGCTTGGACTCCGTACCCTTCTTGGAGGGCGCCTTGGCCGAACGTTCTTCCCTCGTTGAAGGCTTCGCCGTCCTTGTGGCCTGGCGGGACGGCCCCGCGACTGGTGCGTGCTCCACGGAGGTCGCGATGGGGGCAGCACTTGGGTGTCGCACCTTCGAAGCGGAGCCCTTGGTAGCCTTCCGCTTTTTTGCAGGGGGCAGCACAGCAGCGTCGACATAGCCAGCGGCCGGGGCAGTTCGCTTCCGGCCGCTCCTCCGCAGCACCGTCACCGCGGGGGTCTCAGCCTGGGTCGTTGCCTCTTGCGGGGCGATCGGTACGAGTCGCGATGGGCCCGCAACGGCGTTCGGGGCCTTCCCGCGCGACCGTGTAGTTGGGGGCGATCGGGTTTCGGTGGGGAGTACCGGAGGGTGACCAGCAGAAGAGGAAGAGGGACTGGGTGGGTCCGAGGCATGCGTGAGGGCGGTTCCGGATGACGATGCGATCGTCTGCGTGTCTTGCAGCCGGTGATCGTGTTCAAGGGGGAATGAGGACTCTTCCGGCCATGCTTGCTGGTCGCTGTCGGAAGAGAGACAGAAGGGACCTCCGAGGGGAATGTCTTCGGTCGCCTCACGCGCCGCGAACGTTGCAGGGCCTACATGATAAGGTCCAGTAAGTATAAGAGTACAAATGCGAGTCGTTCACGTGAGCGCACCTTCTGAACATGTTTGGGCCAAGGAGCTCGAAGGAACGGGCATAGAAAGGTATGCGAATGCGAGGTCCTCCTGCGCAGAGGAGCTGGATTGGGGAGGCTATTTGGTCGGTTCGCCGTCAGCCGTGCGAATGTTGAAAATCTGGTTAGCCACATACCTCCAATTGCGCCCCCTGCCCCCCAGCACTCGCGTCCGACGTTCCATCCACAGTCGTATGACGCGACAGGACATCGCCCCAGCAGACGTCGGACGCGGGGTCGAAGGAGTTCGACGCAAACCCACCATTGAGCGAGTACTGTTGATCGTCTCCCGGCAGCTGCGATGGACCGGCCAAGTTGAGCTCAATGAGCTCAGATAACGTCCACCCATTCTGTCGTGGGTAATGAGCGCTGTCCCCGTACACATATGCAGCTGAAGATTCAACGACTTACCGATTGGCGCGGCGTAGCGAGCGCATCCTCGAAGGGGCTGTGGTTGACGTTCCCAAGCGACTGGTGCCCAGGGAAGGTGAGGGAGGGCAAGAAGTCGAGCCCGTCGAAGCCGTAGTTGAATGCCATGTTTGATTGGTGTAGGACTGGATTAAAGGAGTGGGGTGCGGGGTGCGGGGTGTGTGGGTTGAAGCGTGGTGAGAGGGAGAGATGCCGACGGGACGTCGAGTGGCTGATTTTATGTGCAGAGCGAACAGCGGAAAACAAACAAACCAACACCTGGCCTATTATGGCCTTCGCGGAGTTCTGACCAGCGTCAAACGTCT